TTAGTTGTCTCATCAAATACAGATGATCCTCATGGCCGTCAGTATATCAATGTGTTCTTGAGATTTACTCCCTTAAAAAGTGATCTTGAAATACTTACTTTCTCCTTTTGACAGAAGAGGTAATTATATATGTTGATGTACATTATGCTGACTATCAAGGAACAGATTATTAAACCTCTGAAATTTATACTTCAAGCAAAACTGCAAACCCATGACGTGTTTTTAAATAGCTTTGGATGGAACAATATATCTGACTGTTTCCAGTAGTGGTTTATATTTTTATTTATGTTGTGTAGTATTTGGATTGGCTATTATTTGGAACCTATTAGTTAGAGGGCCTAATTTAAGGTCTCTTAAATTAAATCTTTAAAATAATTATTTAAAAAAAATAATATTTCTAGCTAGACTTTTCCCATCTGTTGATAAGAAATAATTGGTTTGTTCGTGTGCCAACTTTAAAATCACTCAAAATTTACAGCCTATGCTCTGAAATACAATAGTCATAAATATTTATACTAATATGGTGTCAGCTGTAAAAATATTTATCTGTTACTTACTGCAGTAAGGAATGTGAATTCTACTTTTCTACTGTTTTATCTAAATGGAATTTCTCACAAGTTCCCAATGATTTTATTTGTTTGGAAAACACTGATTTAGATGAGGACTCCATAAATTTTTGTGAGTTAAAAGTATAATTTTATAAGATCTCAGCAGCACAGAAAAGTGTTACTGTATCAGAACTGGTCACTGAATTGAAATGGCATTAAATAATTTTAGACTAGTTCTACTGTTTCACTGATTTAAAACAGAATTCTACAGGTGTAGAGAAACTATTTCCTCTCTGTTTGTTCAGATGGCCAGTGAAGGAATGAAATTTCTTTTCTTGGCATCTAGTTAAAAAATTGTCTTGCTTCCCTTAGACTGCCACAGCATTTAGTAATTTCTATCATAAAGTCTCTAGATTTAGACCTCTCCTTTTAATCTCCCTCTGCATGCAGTCTCCTGGAAATGGAACGGAGATTAACACCCAGTTCAAAGAGGATCAGGCTTTGCTATCACTAGTCGATTTTTCACAGAATCACAGAATGTCAGGGGTTGGAAGGGACCTCAAAAGATCACCTAGCCAGAGCAGGATCACCTACAGTAGATCCCACAGGAACGCGTCCAGGTTGGCTTTGAATGTCTCCAGAGAAGGAGACTCCACAACCTCCCTGGGCAGCCTGTGCCAGGGCTCTGTCACCCTCACAGTGAAAAAGTTTTTTCTAATATTTTTGTGGAACCTCCTATGTTCCAGCTTGTACCCATTGCCCCTTGTCCTGTCATTGGACGCTGCCGAAAAGAGCCTGGCTCCTTCCTCCTGACACTCTCTCTTGCCATATTTATACACACTAATGAGGTCACCCCTCAGCCTCCTCTTCTCCAAGCTAAAGAGACCCAGCTCCTTCAGCCTTTCCTCATAAGGGAGATGTTCCATCCCTCCATCATCCCTGTGGCTGTCTTCATCCCTGGGGCTGGGCTGGACTCTCTCCAGCAGTTCCCTGTCTCTCTGGAGCTGAGGGGCCCAGAACTGGATACAACGTTCCAGATGTGGCCTCACCAGGGCAGAGTAGAGGGGCAGGAGGACCTCTCTCGACTTTTTACTTATTTAGGTAAAACCTGAAATTTTCTTGACTAAAAGAGAACGGTTAAATGACTTCAAATGTAAATTCCAGCCAGAGGGTGCTGGTCTCCATGCAGTTTTCCAAGGTAAGCAACTTACCCTGAATGAGAAATGGGTGTTGGAAGTCCCCTGGGTCACTAAGAAAACAACCACTTCACGTCATTAGTAGCACTTCCAAAGC